TCTGCAGGATCTCCTGTAGATCTTTCCAAACATTTTTTCACGTTCATAAATACTGTAACATCAAGAGCTGCATTCGGTAGGATCTATAAGGGGCAGGATCTATTGATTGAGAGTGTACAAGAACTGTCCGTTCTGGCTGGAGGTTTTGATATCGCCGATTTGTTTCCTTCGTATAAGTTTCTTCATGCTGTTACCAGTATGGGGTCCAAGTTAAAAACCCTTCATCGAAACCTTGATATGACCCTAAACAGAATCCTCGTTGACCACAAGAACTCGGAACATACAGATGGATGTAAAACTGGCACAGATAATGAAGATTTTCTTGATATTCTGTTCAGACTTAAAAACAGTGGCGAGCTTGAGTTTCCATTCACAACCGACCATGTCAAAGCGTTGGTAGTGGTTAGTACACAGGACACCATTTAGTGTTTTCATGAGCAATCACTGATATTCACTCCAAAACTTCTCCTGATTGAACATTTTGTAGTAACTGATTATGGCTTGTTTGTATGCAGGATGTTTTCTCAGCTGGAACAGATATGTCATCAACAACTATGGAATGGGTAATGTCAGAACTTGTAAGAAACCCGAGAGTGATGAAAAAGGCACAAGCTGAAGTTCGAGCAGCGCTAAATGGAAAGAAAGAAGTACATGAAGCAGATATTCATGAATTGAAGTATCTAAAATTAGTGATCAAAGAGACGATGAGATTACATCCATCGCTTCCCCTGTTGCATCCTAGAGAATGTCGGGAAAGTTGCGAGATTGATGGATATGTGATACCGTTGAAGACGAAAGTGATTGTTAATGCATGGGCTCTTGCAAGGGATCCTGGGTATTGGCATGATCCTGAGTGTTTTTTACCTGAAAGATTCGAAGACAATTGTTATGATTTCAAGGGAAGCAAGATGGAGTATCTACCATTCGGAGCAGGAAGGAGAATCTGTCCAGGAATTCTATTTGGGGTGGCTAATGTTGAGCTTCTTCTTGCAAGCTTACTCTATCACTTCAACTGGAAACTCCCTAATGGGATGAATATTAGAGATTTAGATATGAAGGAGAAATTTGGTGCTTCCGTTGGGAGAAAGACGAGCTTGCAACTGATTGCAGCCCCTTATGATCTCAATTGCGGGGACTCCTAAACTGCACTAGTTAGGATCATCATGTGTTTGGTTCTTAGGTCTATAGTACGTACCTTATTCCAGCTTTTAGTCATATTTGAAATTGCATTGTTTCAAAAGTAAGACCATCTCCAATGAACTCATATGAGTTCAATGGATTGACACATGTACATTCCACTCATTATACAACTTTACTCATTAAACTCTACACTCCATTAAATTCTATACAATTTAATGGATTGTCACATCATTTATCATTTTCTTTTTATTTATTATTATTTTTAAAAATTTAATTAGCATGAAATTAAAAAATTAAAAACTAAAATTAAAATTAACATTAGTTAAAATTTTGAATATATATATATATATATATATATATATATATATATATATATATGTGTGTGTGTGTGTATATGTGTGTGTGGAGAGAGAATATAGAGTTCAATGGGGATTGAACTCCCCATTCCATTGAATCCTACTCATTTTTTTTACAATGGAGATTTTGAGTGTAATGAGATTAAACTCCCCATTAAACCCCTCATTGAACTCCCATTGGAGATAGCCTAAGTAACTATAAATATATTCTCTTTGGTCATCATGTTCATAGTTATGTGCTGTAAAATATTTCTTTAAAGTGTGTTCAACTTAATATAATCTCTTTTATATATGCCATGTGTAAGAGTATGGATAGAATGATAAAATTGTTAGTTTTTTTTTTTTTTTTTTTTTTCAACTAAAAAAAAAAGGTATGTCCCAACTAAGGTATTATAGTAACCTTAAAATTATACACGATCTCCAAATATTGTGACTCTAGGCCAAGGTATCCCTGATCTCTTTTTGAATTGCCATGTGGTACACTACAAGAAGATTGGGCAACAGCGGCGACACACGTCGCCGCTAAAGGTTAGGCGTGTCGCCGCTAATACCTTTAGCGACGACATGTCGCTGCAAATACGTCGTCGGTATTGATTCGTCGCTAATATGCTGAATGTCGCCGCAAATACTTGGTGTCGCCGCTAATACTCCCGTCGTCGCTAATGCTGCCCGTCGCCGCTAATATGTTGTCGCCGCTAATAGGACGCCGTCGCCACTATTCCCATCGCTGCTAATGCTCTTTTGATTTTTTTTTTTGTTTATTTATTTCACATTAAATTTATAATCAATCCAAATATTAATCGATATAGCATTTGAAAAATCTGATAATTTTATATAGAAATATTAATACATAAAATCAATCCAAAATATTAATCCATATATATACCACATTTAGTATTGTTTCGAATTACAAAACGTTTCATAAAATCCTAAAATAACTACTCGTCCTCATCATCATCTCCATTATTTGGTGGCGACAATGAGCGAAACCACTCTTCCAATGCTGCAGAACAAGCCGGGTCCTGTAGTATTGTTTGGAGCATTTGCAACTATAAAAAAACAAAATATATTAACAATATATCAGAATAATATTATATACATATATTAAATCCTAACATGTTTATCAACAGTAAAATTCTCAACTTTCAAACTTCCACCACATGACTTTGTATAAAATACAATTTCGTCCTTATACATTATATAACAAATCCTCCACCCTTTGGATCGTCTCATCCAAAAAAAAAAAAAAATTCCAGAGTTGGCTTCTCCAATCGAATCTCATGCGATTACAATCGCATCGTCACCAATCAAAACACGATTACAATCATTCCAAACTGTGAACGTTGGCTTCTCCGATCGAATCTCATACGATTACAATCACATCTTCTCCAATCGAAACACGATTAGAATCTCATCCAACAAGGAAATCCCATCGAATCTCATCCGATAACAGACGATTACAATCTTATCTTCTCCAATCGAAAGACGATTCCAAATCATCCAACAAGAAAGGAAATCGAATCCTCATAAACAACCTCATACCGCTCTATTGCCGCCACCAAACGAACCCTAAAGGGTGAGGAATTTCGTTATGTTGTCGTTCTTTCAATTACCGTACAAATTTTGTTGAATTCCAATCCTTCTATGTTATTGACTGACGTTTTGGGTTTCACAATCGACGATTCCCGTACAAAGAACCAGTCTTCCATTTCTGTCACCAACAAGTCTGCCATCAATTACTGCCACCAAACATGTGAGCAATATCGGTAAGTGGTAGGTTCTTTCAATTTACTTATGATTTTGGTCAAATTGCTCCTCTTTCTAATCCTTCTGTGTTTATGAACGATGATTCCGACTTATTGGGGTTGAGTATCGACATCGGATCAAGATTCAGTTTTTGTCACTAACAAGACAACCGTTAATTACCGCCACCCAACCTAAACTTCCAGGGGCCGGTGGCCCATATCTTCTGTCAGGTACAACACTAAATAAACGTACAACATATGAATCTAAATTCATTGACTGAGCTATTTCTTTCGCAGTCTTAAATGTACGAACATACTCATTATTTGTATGTAACATTTGACTTAAGGATTCTACAACATCCGCAGAAAAAAGTACTCCCCCTTACCATGAAAAGAATGAAGTCTATTCGCAACCTCATTTTCAGTATTACACATGTACAATTGGAGAAAACGGGGTTGATGAACGTCTTGAGGATAACAAGATCCTATCCAATGGTAAATTTGACCACTAACTTTAAACACATATGGTGCACGACCTTTGTTGATTGAGTCGTCTTCGTTTGCACCAAAAGACGCCATAGAGAACATGGAATTATATGCTCTTATGTTATGCATGAAGTAATCATCTTCGTAGAATTGCATAAGCACATTAGGTGGACGAAGAGGGTAGGAAAGAACTACATTACCCGACTTACAACATTTCGTATATCGTGGATGATTGGCTCGGGATAAATACAATACTCTCTCATGATACCAAAAAAAGCCCCACAATACTCACATACGCAGGTACAATTCCCACAGTCATAATAATAAGGCAATGCTGGTATTTCTTCTAAAAGTGAACTCCTGCGTGATCGACGTGAACGACAGGGTACTATTGTATTGGAAGTAGAAGCCATATGTCGTTGTTTTGGAGGCATTTGAAGAAAGGTTACTGAGATGGAAATCCATAAGTTATCGACCTTTAACATACTTCATATGTAATTGAATTGGAAAATCAGACTCTAGAAAAGTATTTTTGAAACTAACTATTTTGATTAGTAACTAATTATTGAAGTATTATTATACATTTGAGAAGAGATTAATAGGTTGTTTAGATTGTATTAGATGACATAATCTTTTGTAAAGATACAAGGTAGAGTAGAATATTAAAAGGCTATATACGAAAATTATAAAATTTTATATTTACACTAATCTAGTAGATTGCAAAGGCTCCATGTGTATTATTTGAAAGTCAAATCAATATTGCATAATATATAAATTATAGGTGTGAATAACTAACCTAATTATATAACCATTTAAAGAGGAAATTAACATCTATTTTGAGTAAAAAGTATGTTTCATTATTGTCATTGTGATACAGATAAGAAAATTAGCATTAGAACTCCTCAAGTGTTAGCAGTTATCAATACTAATAATAGTGATAATTTAATGCATTTATCGTATATAAAAGATTGTAAAAAATCCACAATTATAGGACTGTGGTTGACCACAGGTTTAGCAATACGTATTTTTTTTTTAGATTCACTACTTATATAACCATTTAGCATTACAAAATACGGTCAAGTGCAATATGTCGTAATGTGAAAATGCAATATAAAATCCTAGAATATGATTAGGTTTTTTCTTAGCTTTTATTAGGTAAAAATTCAAATTATAAAAGAAATAAAAGAAGGATAGTGGAATTTTTGTCATTAAAAAAATGCATTCGGTCTAAATTTAAAAAACATTAATTTAACTTGATTGTTAGAGGCATGTCGTATTATTTTAGTAATTTTTAGTAGATTGAATGAAGTTGCAAGGATAGGATCCACAAAATTGCAATATAATTTATATCTTACATATTATAGCTACATACTTTTTTTTATAGAGTAATGGTTATGGCTAATTTAGAATGTAATGAGGAACTTACCTTTTACTATATTTTTTTATTCATAAATTTACTATTGTATGTTTATGTTTTAGCGAAATAGTTTTATAAGGTATTGAAAACTTTGTGATAGAAAAACTATTACATAATTTTGCGTCTAGTATTACTAAATACGGTTAAGGGCATTATTGTCCTTTGGTGAAATGTTATATATATATATATATATATATATATATATATTCAAAATAAACTACTTGTAAACCCATTTAACCTTCAATTCATAATTAATTTACATATAATTTTATTTAAAATGTTTACAGTACCCCATCCGTTTTGTATCATGAAATTTGTGTTCTAGTTATAATTAATTATACCATTCCATTATAGCATTTACTAATAATTACCTGTGATTGTGGTTGTTCTTGTGTCATTGGTTGTTGCTGATTGTACATAGACACAACGGTAGGGGGTTTACGCCCAATACCTCTGATATGTCCGCGTCGAACACCCAATATTCTTTCAAAACAATCTTTTATATTAGTTGGTGCTAGACCGCTTGCCTCAGAAGTAGCTTGGGTTCGTTGGTTTATCTCTTCCAGTAAAGCATTCTGTATTTTTTAAAAACAATAAAAGTCATAAAAATTAGATTACTAAATACCTTTGACGATATAAACACTTATATGAAAAATACAAATTTAGTGGCATATAAAATGTGCCACTAAAAACCGAAAAATGCCACTAAAAGGCCTCTCGGGCAATCAGCGACACAATAATAAAGTGTCACTAAAAGCCCTGCCATTAAAGACCTTTAGTGATACTTTTTGGTTGTGCCGATGCAGTCTAAATGAGTTTTAGTGTCATTTTTTTATTATGCCACTAAAGCACTCATAGGTTTTAGTGACACTATTTTTATGCCACTATAGAATTACTAAAATAAATATTATTTGTTTGCTTTTAGTGGCATATTATTTTTACATAAACAATATATTAATAAAATAGGTATGATATTTAAATTTTAAATGGAATATAAAATAACAATAAGACAATTAAGACAATAAATGAAAAATACAACACCATTATTGATGGGTTTTGGTCATAAGACATCCTATCTGCTCATACAAACCCTAAAAATTGGATCTAGGTTTCTCTATTGTACATGCTTTGAATCCAAGACTATAAACCCTAATTCTAGCATACATATAATCATATTAACATGAGAATAAGTTTATAGTGTTACCTTGATTGTTATGTAGCAATAACAACCCCAAATCTCCTTGAATTGACTTTGGAATGCTTAGAGTCACAAGTGTCACTCCTCTAATGGCTTACAAACACCAAGAGCAAATGGAGAAGGTATAAAGAGAGAGGAGAGAGGTTAGAATTCGTCCTTAGGACTTCTTGGGAATAACTACACGAATTCTAAGGCCTTAGGGTCTTTATATAGGTGTAGAGATAGGGTTTCAGTAATTATCCTTATCTAGTTGCTTATCCACAAAGCAACCATAAGATAAGCCTTGAAAACCCTTATCCTTTATCCTTTGGATGATTTCAAGGATCCTTATCTCCTTGAATTCGTTCAACCCATATTTAGGATAACCATTACCATATTGTGTAACTATCACATAATTACAATTCAGCCCCTCTAGTTTAATTAATTACACTTGATCACAAAATTAATTCCTAATTAATTATTGATCAATATTAATTAAGCAAATATGATTTCTCCTTTAATATATTATTCTTATAACATATTAATAAATCATAATAACCTCTTTCTCTTTATTTATTTCTCCAATCAAGTTGCTTTGGTGAAGGCAACCCAAAAGGACCATGCACCATCGGGTCAAGTACATACCAAAATAGTTATGGACTTAGACACTAATCCAACAGTCTCCCACTTGGATAAGTCTAATAACTATTCTGCGTATGACTTCAGATCCTGATCTGCAATCGTAGCTTTCTAAAGCCGCTGTCAACTCTGATCCTATCAGATACGCGCGTCCTTAGATAAGGGATCATATATTCCTCCATTCTAGATATCGTATGAGATATGATTTCAAATCATTCTCTTTGTACTACTTCTTGATTTCCGATTTATGACGACTGACTAATTGAACAAATCAAATTGGCCCTAGCCCGGCCGAGCATTTACGTTTGTCATCACTAAACCATCGAGGGGCCCAAAGATATCGCTTTTATCCTTCTTTGGATAAAAGTAACGGATAAAATTTGATACAATGCTCGCTTGCACTTACTAACCAAATCACACACAACAATATGTTTTATAACACCAAGTTACTAGTGCGTTTACATATTATCAATGTGCAACCGATTAGCAAGATACAACTCACACATCTCGGTTTCAAGAATATAAGATGTTATCATCTCACCAATCACTCGTGATATAATTCATGGAGTGATCCAAGTGAGCGTGGGTTTAATCCAATGCTCAAATCATATTTATAAGCACTCATGAATGCTGCAGCAAACATTTGCTTATGTCTAATACTCTTCTAGACAATCCACACACTAATTCACGACAACCTTCATTCATATCTACTTCCAACATATGAATGACTGTGGCCCGTTCGAATAATTCAATTATTCTTAATAAACTCAATTATTCTGGAAGTCAAAACATGCAAGGTGAAACACAAGAATAATACTAATCCCATATGGCCTCAAACCTTTGAGCATAAATAAAACACGTTTTATTTATCACTATATCGATTACTCATTATTTGTCGTTTCGGGTAATCAACTTCTTACTTGAATTATTACACTTGTCCCATGCTCCTAGCATGCACACAATGTTTACCTATGGTTCTTACTTTTGTGAAATAGACAAATTGAACACATTTCCAATCATTCTCATTTTACAACTCCAAATCCATTTTTCTTAAGTGTAAGAATATCAAATTCTTGTTACTTATAGAATATACTAGATTCTAAAACATTATGCAACGATCCTTTTGTAATGTCACTGCACCAAAGTCTCAAAGTCTATTGCCAATGATATTACAAAGTCCTCTAACGTAGATTGTTACAAGACAATTCCTTTGATATGATGTCTCTCACTCAAAGTACATTCCTTTGAACATCCTTTTGCATAAAAGTTTCTAAACTAGACATAGATTTTCAATATTTAGTTCCTAATATGAACACGCTTCCATATTTTCCTCATGACAACTCATTCTTAATAGAATCTCTTCTATTTGTAATGATGTCGATATGGTCCATCCAATATGGAAACATTTCCATATTTTCCAATACTATACTTCCAACTACTCACAAGCGACCAATCCTCGTCGAATTTTGGATTGTCCTTTGATAGTTGTTTAATTATTTCAGTCAAAACCAATTGTAGTCCCTTTTTCCCTCTAAATGCACTAGACATTTGGAAAATTTTAGAATGGTCAAACATTAAAGCATTTGCAATCGATCCTATACCTGAAGCGTATGGGACACGACGCATAATGTTTTATTTGCTATGTTCTCAAAATTCGAATTGTGAAGAGGAATGCCGTAATCATAATCGAAATTTTAAGAACACAGTATGTACCTTTGACTAAATTTATCAACATTTCTCAACCTAATCCTTTAGATTTGAAATGAAGCATAATATTCTCTCCCTTAATTATACCAAAACAACTTTACAACCCTTACGACTTTGCAAGGTATAACTCTTGTTTTTCTATAATTAATATTGCCAACTTGCAATACTTTCTATAATAATCATACAATCATAAATTTTATGCTCCCACTATCATGATGATTACTATAAAACATAACACTTATGCTCCCACTAGCTTTGACATGTATTCACAAACATTTTAACTTTCAGAAAGACAATACCTATTGAATTTCTTAAGTCCATGTTTCTAATACTTAGTGCTTTGATAATCTTTTATCAAGGCTTCTTGAACTTATACACCTTTGCCTTAGATAGTTCATATGTGTGTCTTAAACAATTAAGACTAATTGCCAAACCTCACAATTCAAATCATGGAAATGGATACCGTAACCATGATCGAATTCGAGAATGCAATTTTACAATCACTATCTTCTTAAAATCTTTCTTAGTGAAAGCATTTCCTCACAATCATTTTCATGAAGGAGGAAATCTTATGACACTTAGATTTAAATGGTGTATTTGTTCCTATCCATGTGAATTTGTTAAAACCAAAGTTTACTACAAATTCAAACTCATATGGACTGAGCCTTTTTTAATCTTGATTTCTTGCCTTATGGTAGCACAGCTGCCCATCACATCTCCCAAGTAGTTAAGCA